TCCGATTGCTGGTGTAGACCGCATCACCATGGCTCAGTGGCTCAGGGGCTTGGATGCACGCGGGAGGTCCATGTTCGAATCTGACCGGCGGCAGGCGGTATTCTCCTGGGCCGACAGTTCACCTGGCTGCTTTCGGGTACTACCTGCTCTCCTTTGGGCGGAAGCATAGGCCACTCTGTGCTCCATTGTGTGAGAGGTAGGTGCTTGGTGCACCTCAATAGTACCCGCCACATCAGCCCTGGCGGCCCGATGTGCAGCGATGGAGGGCCAATGGCCGGAGCGGCATCGAAGTTGCCACCACCTTCCCCGGGCCTCGGGATGCATTATGACAGGAAGAGTGGGAAGGTGGGGCAATGCCGTCAGGGATGTCCGATTAGAATTCCCTTTCCTCTGTGTTGCCACCTTTGGTATTTGTCCGTCCCAGTCCACGTTTTTTTAATAATAAAAAAAGCGATTGTTGGTGTTCCCTCTACCAATTTCTATCGTTGGGAGGCTGCACTCTTAACAACGTTACCCTTACGTTACCTCGAGATTGGGGTAACATAAGCTTATAGAGGTAACTTCACTTTTATTAGAAGTAACTTGAAGAGTATCGCCCTTGGCAATGGAATGGTTGCCCTGATAAATGGAGAGACTAAAGCGATAGAGGCTAAGAGCGATAGAGATAACGAGGCTTCTGGGGTAACATATTCTCACAGAGCAGGGGGTACGGCAAAAAGTGATTGGCAGGGCCACGGGGAGGGAGTGCTTGCCAGGCGTGCGGATGAGCATCTCTCTATCCGCCGCCCTAGGGGTTGCAGGGTGCGGTCATAAGTCGCCAGGTGTCACTCCTAACTTTTGCCCTTGTCTCTTATCAGTAATTAGTCCGCAATTCTAATCTCCCAATCCGAATTCCTTTTCTTCATTACCGGCACCCACGCCTGCTAAGGGGCAACAGGGGGCACCACCCTCATTTCATTCATCTGTCGCGCCCATCCGTACATGTGATGAAAAATAAAGGACTGGACCCTGCGAGAGAGCACCTATTTAGAATGAGGATCCCCTCGTTTCGTGTCAAATGGGGAAGATCCTTAGCTAGAGTCTACTCCCAGGCTTTCGCTTGTCCTCACCGTGCTTTTTTTCGGTCAGGTCAATCCTTCACCCCATCTGCCGGGGCTCTTAGTCCCGGCAGCCGTCAAATAGTCTTTGTTAAGATATATCCCTCTCTCTCTCACACGGCTCCTGATTTATTAATTACCCCTAAGGACCTTTGTCTCTAACGCTTTTCTCTCCTGCATTCTTGCCTCTAACCTTCTGTATCTTCACTCTCCCCTTTCTTTTCGTACGGCACCATGCCGGCGAAAAAGAGGACCCGGAAGAAGGCCTCTCCCCCACCGCCTTCCGTTTACTCCAACCCCTCACCTCGCTCCAGGCGTCAGGCTTCTTCTGCCCCTCCTCCTCCTCGCACACCTCCACCGCCCCCTGCCATCTCGCGAGATTCTTCTCCCCTTCGCCAACCAACTGCCAGCC